GTCTTGAATAATTCAGAACTCTGATTCCTAAGGCAAAAAATGGGCAAGAAATAAGCACATAATTATCATTGCAGTAGAGGTCAAAAGGACAAGCTGGCCTTAAGTTTGTAACATGCTGGGGCATCTGGATTCCTTGCAGATCTTGGTTGCTCAGAATATTCTCCTTTATAAATTATTATTCCCCCCCCCCCCAAAAGGGAGGGCAAGCTCTGTCAAGCAGTTTGCTGAAAAAGAAATAGACGAAGTGTTAATTTTTAAGCAAGTTTGACAAAGATTGAGTTTCATATGACAAATACTGTCAGCAAGACAGGGCTCTGTCAGTGGAAGAAGTTTAAACATTAACAATTTCTGTCAGGCTGTTGACACAACTATGGCAGACATTTCCCAAGATGCTGAGATGACTGCTGGCATTTCTCAACAATCCTGTCATAGTGACAGCAATAAGACCATGTCTGGAAATGTGACAGTTTTGGCTTTGTATTCCCCTGAGTGTTCACCCAGGTGTTCAGAGAAAGTGTGGGAAAACCCCACATTTTTGCATTGTCATTCGAACATAGGGGGGGAAAAAAACCACAGGAGGAAAATGAGCTGTCACTCCAATCCCCATGATGCTTTTCTGCTTAGCATAACTGTACTCTGTGGCCTAGGGTCCACTGGTCCATACGCTGACAGATAATTAAGAAAGCAGCAGCTTTTCTAGACGGCTCTTCTCCATGATTTGCATTTTAGCCAGAGGCGACCAGTTATAAAAAAAACATGATGGAAAGATGGTAAGAAGGCAATTAGATGGATGGATGGCTGACTGACAGCTCTCTAGTGTTGCTATTCTAGATTCCATCATACACGGCCTAGCAATTCTCTGCAGCAACTAACTTTTGCACTTTTTAAAGTGGATAAATGAAGTTCTATATATAGAATGATATTGTCATATATTTTTTAAAAATTCTTGAAATAAACTTAAATCATTTCCATCAAAAGCTATATTCAATAAATCTTGCATGATTGAGTGATGTCTTAAAATAATACTTAGTTTTTCTGTTCTTTGTAAGAATTGAGCCTATGTTTTGCAGACATCATCATCATCATCATCATCATCATCATCATCATCATCATCATCATCATCATCTGTTTATAGTAATATGCAGTCACAGCTGCTAACTCTTTAGTTGGTGTTGCCTTTCATATACATCGAGTTCTTTCCAAAACCCAGGATGTCATAATGTATCTGTGTAATATATGTGCAGATCACAGCTTGTGGCCTTTTGCAGTTGACAGATGAAATTTTGTCATTGTAAAGATTTTCTAAATGGGGTCTAATATTTTTTTGTATGATATCCTGTAGGCCAAGACCACCATGACTGGCTTATGCTATAGTCTTGCAACTTTTGATTTTCAGTTCTTAATACTTGATCTTCTCCAATTCTTTGTGTTCTATTGCACAATTTGATAGTGCCACATCTATTACCTACACTTTTCCCCCCAACCATAGTTAAATCTGGCATATGAGCACAGACTTTATCAGTTTGTATTCAGAAATCCCACAATATTTTAACCTGTCTATTGTTCAACTGTATGTTCCCGCCAATTATATGTTACTGGCATATGCTACTTTACAGATCTTCCAGTGATTCATTTTGGCAACCGTGTTATATTGTTTCTAATCAATTTCTGTGATTTTCTTGTACAAGCTGAATATATGATCCGCTATTTTTTCTGCTTCTTTGACAATCTGCACTTTGAATTATTTGGTGATTTTTTTTTGCAGTTCTGGCCTTCATTGCATTAGTTTGAATAGCTTTCTCTTGAGCAGCCAAAAATCAAGCCTTCGGTTTCTTGTTTCTTTTTCTTTTTAATATTCCAGTTATAAGTCATTGCCAAGTTTTATCTTTATCCACTTTTTCATTTGTTTGTTGAAATTAACCATATAATGCTTTTCCTTGCCAGCATTCTGATTGTATTTTAGTATATTATTTCAATATTAATGTTTTGTCTCCTGTTACATTTTACTTGCATAAATGATTGTTCTTGACTCCAAGAACAATGAGGTCTTCTTCATAATCAGCCAATGCACGATTTTGATCTGTCGTAATCCCCTGCCTCCATTTCTGCAGGGCAGGTATAATCCATCAATATCACTACAGTGATGTAATATATAGTGAATAGTCATCAATTTTCTTGGTTTTTTTTGGTCCGAACAGTTTAATTCAGCTTATGTCCAATTAATTCCATCAGTATATTGTATCACAAGTATGGTGTCGCGTTGAGCGACCGGTCTGTTGTTTAGATCTTCAGGTTGATTGCTGAATTCCTCTCAGAACGGGACCCTCGCAAGGGTGAGATACAGAGAAGCCCTCGCAAGGGCGAAGTTTGGCAAAAGCAGGACCCTATCCAGGGTGAGTTTGAGCAGCGGAACCCTAGCCAGGGTGATTGAGGAACTCTCGCAAGAGTGATTGCAAAGCTAAAAGAAAAAAGAACACAAGACGAAGATTTCTTTAGGTGAGACAGCGCATTGCTTGAGGCAGATGGAATTGTCCCATTTGAGCCTAAGACAGATGGAATGTTCAGGCTGCTAGCTTGCTCTACGCTGTGCTCTTTTATTATGCTGAATCAAAGAAGGGGGGTGAGGGATTACAGAAAGACAAAGAAGTTACAAACTTTATCTTTTAGACCAGGCTACAAGTGATACAAATAACAAACTTTCTGACTGTTATTGATAAGCATGTTTTTTCCTGTATTTTTATCTGACACAAGCTTCTGTGAAACTGAATACACATCCTTTCACAGGCTTTTGTGAAGTTAATCTTTATCAGCTCCTTTTTCCTGTCAACTTAGTGAACTTTGCTCTGAGAGGTATACGTGCTGAGCAGGATTTCTCTTATGGAAAAATACTGAGACAGAATAGCCACAGTATGGCCCAAATATTGATGGCTTGGATGGTGTTTGTGTTTAACAATTTTCTCACTCTTTTTTTTTAGTAAATAAGTAAATCCTCTCTGTTGCCATTAGGAAAGAGTATAGTAATAGTACCTAGTACAAAAGCCCTCCTGCCTCTCCTTCTGAATTTGACAGTGTTCCTACTAAAGTTCAGACACACAGAGCCTGCTATTTTTAAAAAATTGCCTGTGCACACTCACAGAGAAACAAATTTCTGTCCCACTTGCTTCTGGTGAACTCTCCTCATTTTATTACACAATATAAACCCTACAACAAAAACTGTGATGCCAAGACATTGCAGAAACCTGTGGATGGTTTATGTGGTATCATTTTTGTGTTATGATGGTTCTGCTAACATTGTACAAAGGAACTTAGGAAGGACCTAGGGGAAGGTATGAAAAAGCCATTAAGAGGGAAGCAAGGAAAGAGATGCTGATATTGAAGCAAGTGTGAGGAAAAATTATTCTGCCTTGTTTTTTTTTTTTTAAAGTATGAAGAGATAGGCAGAAACCTGGTTAGGCTTTTAAAGTTCTGTGATTATATCCTAAAAAAAAAAGAACCATAGCATTCCTGAAGTCCCTGCAATATCTGCTTCTTGCCTTGCCTTGAAGAGCTGACATCAGTCTTGAAAGCTGGGAAACTAGTTATTTTAGTTAAATCAATCAGAATAGAGCAGGAAGGGACCTTGGGGGGGGGGGGTCTTCTAGTCCATCCCCTGATCAAGGAGGAGACCTTATACCATAATTGTTCCTAGGTACAGGCTGCCCAGTCTTTTCTTAAAAACTTCCAGTGATAAGGCAGCTACAACTTCTGAAGGAAAGCTGTTTCATTAGTTAATTGTTCTCACTGTTAGAGAGTTTCTCCTTAATTCCAGATGGCTTCTCTCCTTGATTAATTTTCATCCATTGTTTCTTGTCTTGAGTTTTGGTGCTTTGGAAAATAAATTGACTCCCTCTTCTTTGCTCCTCAAATACTAGAATACTGTGATTATGTGACTGCTAGTCCTTCTTTTCTTTAGACTATACCAATTCTTGCAATAGTTCTTCATATGTTTTTGACTCCAGACTCTTTATCATCTTACTTGATCTTCTTTGCACTTTCTCCAGAGTCTCTACATATTTTTTGTAATGTGGTGACAAAACTGGATGCAGTATTCCAGGTGTGGTCTTAGTAAGGATTTATAAAGTGGCACTAATATTTCACATGCTTTTGATTCTATGCCTCTGTTTACATAACCAAGGATTGTATTAGCTTTTTTGGCTGCTGCTGCACACTGCTGGTTCATGTTTAAGTGATCGTCCACTAGGACACCAAGGTGCCTCTCACAGTTAAATTTTTGAGCCAGGTTCCACCTAATCTATACTTGTACCTTTGGTTTTTCCTGCTCAGGTATATAACCTTGCTTTTCTCCACATGAAATTTCACGTTGTTGGATAGGGCCCATTGTTCAAGTTAGTCAAGATCTTTTTGGATCCTGAATTTGTCTTTTGGGGTGTTGGCTATTCCTGGCAGTTTAGTGTCATCTGCAAATTTGATGAGTTCCCCCTTCTATTCCCTTCTCTAAATCATTTATGAAGATATTGAAGAGTACGGGCCTGAGATGGAACCTTGTGGAACCTCCAGGTCGATGTAGTACCATTAGGGACTACTTGTTGAGTACAGTTTGTCAGCTGTTTGTCATACTTTGTCATACATGTGTTCATACTTTGTCAATGCCTTGCTGAAGTCCAAGTATACTATGTCCATAGCATTTCACTGGTCTATTAATTTAGTCATTTTGTCAAAGAATGAAATAAGATGGGTTTGGCACAATCTGTTTTCAACAAACCTATGCTGGCTTCTAGTTATAACTTTATTTCCTTCTAGATTTTTGCAGATCTGTTTTTTAAAATTATTTTTCTGGTATCTTTATAGGTATTGATATTAGGCTGATTGGTCTGTAGTTTCCTGGGTCTGTTTTTCCCCCCCTTTTTTGAAGATAGGAACTAATTAACCCTTTTTCAATCTTCTGGTAGTTCGCTGGTGCTCCAGGATTTTTGAAAGATATGGTGAAGTTCAAACAAGATTTAAGAATAGAAGGGAATGCCATGAAGCTTGCCATTCTGACAAATTAGCCATCAACAAATCTAGAAATGAACTGTATTTGGGTCTGCTGTAGATAGAGAGCCACAACAACCTACTCCAGATTAAAACCAAGCTCAGGGAACACCAAGAACTCATAAAGTCTATCCTAAGCTACATATAATTGTCAATGTTGCAGGTACAGATATAAAATATATATTTCACCTATTCTTTAAGCAAGCCAGGGAAACAGCAGAGCAAACATATCAATCACACAGACAGACAGACACACATACACACACACATAAATCTTTGGATTCTACATCCCAAGGCCATTTAAAGAGTCACTAGCCATAGTGCTACAATTCCAGGAACAGTTAGACTATGTGGGCCAAATTGACCTACCTAATTTTGTATTCACAAACCACTTCCTGACAAGGCACAAATGCTGGGGGGAGGAAATTGGTTTGCTGTATTGGGGACCTGGATTGCTATTGCAACAGCAGATTATTCTATAATTGGAATCTATTTTGTGGAAGAATTAAATGACTTCCCATTGTGTCCAGCACTTTATACAGTGTTCTCACCTTTTTCAGACATTTGTTTTTCCCAATCTAAAAGTCAATTGCAGTTTCAGTCTGTCCAGAATGGGCACATTATTTTACTGATGATTTTTCAGGGCTATTTTGCAATTCATTAGCAGTTTCCTCTTTATGGCTTCTGCCCATTCTGGTCTCCTAATGAGTTCTTGATTATCACTTTCCCCACTATAGAATAGATGTTTATTTTAATAACTGACTTCATTGTAGTAAAATGTTCTGTTTCTTTTTTCTTAAGAAATAGCAAAGGAAACTATGAATGAGATGAATCAAATGTCCTATTGGTGAGAACAGAAATGGAATGAATTGTGTGAATTGTGTAATCGCCTCTTACTTGGTAGGTATCAATAAAGGAGAAGAAGTCCCCCAAAACAAATATTCAATTAACATTGCAAGAGATGTTTGATTAATCAGACAATTATTACTAAAGACCAAATGGTATGATGCATGCAATATTTCTTGTGCTGCTCTTTTGTTATTTGTTATTTAATTGGCTGATCTGGATTGTAACTATAACATGGGCATGGAAACTTCTACCAAATATTTTTGTTTCAAAAACCTTCCATTGTTTTTTTTTTTAAGCAATCTCTCCACAATCCAAAGACTATAAATATGGATGGATGCCTGTTGAGTTTTCTAAATATGTAAACTGAAGGATAAAACCAGGACAGGCCAGCCACGATAGGCCATCAGTTTCTTCTACTAGAATAAATTTTAAATAATTGGAAAGAAATTGCATGGCAAGTTGCCTGCAATATTACCAAATAGTGGCAATATATTGGGTTTATGTGTATGTATGTGAATATATTGAAATCATTGCTGACTCCTGGCAATTGACTAGACAAGACCCAACAGTTTTCTTCACAAGATTTAGGAAGTAGTTTGCCATTGCTTTCTTCTTCCTTGGACTGAGAGTGACTGGCTGAAAATCATCCATTGCAGATCCAGTACTTAACAGATAATAGATAATCAGAGTTGGAAGGGACCTTATAGGTCATCTAGTCCAACCCCCCCACCCAAGCGGGAGACCCTACACCATTTCTAACAGATAGCAGTCCAATCTCTTCTTGAAAGTCTCAAGTCTCGCTCCCACAACTTCCGAGGGCAACTGCTGTTCCATGTTTGATTGTTCTCACTGTCAGAAAGTTTCTCCTTATTTCCAGGTTAAATCTCTCCTTGTTCAGTTTCCATCCATTATTCCTTGTCTGGCCTAGAGGCGCTTTAGAAAATAGCTTGACCCCTTCCTCTCTGTGGCAGCCCCTCAAATATTGGAAGACCGCTATCATGTCTCCCCTGGTCATTCTGTTTACTAGACTAGCCAAGCCCAGTTCCTGTAACCGTTCTTCATATGTTTAGTCTCCAGTCCCCTAATCATCCTGGTTGCTCTTCTCTGTACTTTTTCTAGAGTCTCAACACCTGGCTTCATGCCTAAGGTGGGACTAGAAGTTACAGACACCTAGTTTCTGTCTTGGTATCTTTAACCACTGCACCAAGCTGGCTGGATTTCAGAAGTGGTTGACATTGCCTTCTTCCTAAAGTTGAGATAGAGCAACTGACCCAAAGTTATCCAGTGACTTCATGCCCAAGGCAGATCTAGAACTCATGGTCTCCTGATTTCTAGCCTGAAGTCTAAACACCACACTGGTTCTACATATATTATAATATATTATAGATTACCTAGAATTTGCTAAACGTCAGTGGAAAGCCACTCTTAATTCTTCCCCAGATTATTGCATGAAAAAGTCATGTTTAGTGGCCCTAGTTTAGAAGCAACTAGTATCGATCCTAAATGATGGGAAGCATCCAGCCTGGCAGGGTGGAGGAGTGCGGAGCTAGTCTGGAGTTATGACCTGCATATCGACTAAGGCCCACCCCTTCCCCCACCTTCAATTCCTTGGAGCCTCATTTAATTATTCCTAGGAACAGGCTGCCAGGCTGGGAAGACTCCTACATTATAGGCAGAATCCTTGACACGTGAAAAATACCAATAAAACAAAACAAATTGAATGCAATTAATTATACTAAAATAGTATTTGTAAATAAAACATTGCAATATTATTAAAATGTCGTTTAGCAATAATCAAATGTCCTTGATAAACATAGAAGGAATGCATCTTAACATGAAAGAAGTAAAGTATTATAATAAGTGAATACTGATTATACAGTCACTGTATATACAGTATTTAATCAGATATTATTCTAATAACTTCTTCTTAGCCATTCTTCATAACTACATTTTGTTGTAGGGACAATTCTAAATCCCTAATACAAAACAATCACACCAAATTACAGGTTGTATCAGATACATCAGATGTTTGTCTTCTGGAAGTGATTTTTCCTATCTCTAGTACAGTGAGTTGGAAGGATTCCCTGGAGCAGAGAGTTTAGGGAGTTTACTGTGGATATATACAAGTAGGAAGGAGAGCATGTACAGACCACTTCAGTAACAGTGGATATTTTGGCTTCATCATCAGTCAGTGGATTTAAACTATTAGGTCTTCTTCTTCTCAAGGACAGCAACATAGCAACTACAGAAGGTGTGGCTTAAGGCAGCAGTCACCAACTGGTGGTCCGTGGACCATTGGTGGTCCATGAGAAAATTTTGGTGGACTGCAGAAAAATTATTTGCATTTTTTATACACTAAATCAGGGGTCCTCAAACTACAGCCCCTGGGCCAGATATGTGCAATGAACATTTGTGTTGCTACAGAGAGTCTCCCCCTTTGGGATCTTTTTGTGTGGATCAGGGGAGGGGTGTCAGAAATTCTGACTTGGGGTCTGCTTCAGCCTCCTGTTGCAGGGCTTTGGGCAAAGGCTGGAGGGAAGCACCGCTGGTGGCAAAGAGGCAGAGGGCCTTGTTCCAGTGGGACTGCATCATGGTCTGGAACTGGCTGACCATCTCAGCCCGCTGAGCCTCCAGACACCGATATCTGGCCTTGCACTCCCGCAGGTCTTCCCTCTGCTTGGAAAGCCTATGCACATAGTCCTCAGTGAGGTGCTTCTGCTGAGCCTCCTTGTCGGTCAGATCCAATTTGAACAGAGCCAGTTGTTTTGGCAACTGTTTCTCATGGTGGCTGCTTAGCTCCAACAACTGCTTGCTGTTGGGGTCCTAAGGAGCCTGGGCAGGGGCAGGCGAGGAGTGGCTGGGAGGGGAGGAGTGAGTAGAAGCTGGCAAGATACCCCTCAACATGAGTGACATTGAGTTGGCCATGCCCACCCAGTCACATGACCATCTAGCCAAGCCCACCCATTAGGCAGATCATATTAGTGATCCGTGGGATTTAAAATTATGAATTTAGTGGTCCCTGAGGTCTGAAATGTTGGTGAACCCTGGCTTAAGGGAGCTTGCTTTGCTTCTCTCCTCTCCTCTCCTCTCCTCTCCTCTCCTCTCCTCTCCTCTCCTTTAGTAAAACAACCTCATTCCATATATGGAGCTTAGCATTGTCCACTGGCCATGGCAATATAATATCATTTAGCCAGGGAAACAAAAGCTATATATTCCTATTTAAGAAAGAAACGCAAGAAAGGAAGATTAGCCCCAGGCTCAATTTCATAAAAAGGTATGGCTTCTCTTAAATCAAACTTGATTCTTTGGTATTATATGGGCAAATCTGAATTACTTTTGGGCAACAATACCTCTTACTGGGATGTAATTTCAACTTCCAGTTTTGCTTACAGTCTTGGCATTTCCTGGTCCACCAGTGGTCTCCCTCCAAGTACTAATCCTACTTTTTTTTTTAATCATCCAGAGTTGGATAGATTTTTGCATATGAATGTCAAGAAATTGCCCACCTCCACTTGTTTCCAGTATTGAAAATTACTTCTCTGTCTTTCACTTTTTCCTTCCACTTTCCCAATTCTTATGTGTCTTGTTTTTTCAAATTATAATCAAGAGCCAAGGCTAGCCTCTCTCTAATTGACACGAGTCATTCTAGGAAATGATAATCATCTAGAAAGCAGAATAAAAAATATAGCAAGTAAAT